ATTAATAATTATGTTTTCTCTTTATTTTTTTTATTTTCTTCTCTTCCCTTCCTTCTTGTATGTTGGTGTTTTGGAAAAATAAATCTGGAGGTTAAAATAAAAGAAATTATAAATAAGCAAATATATATATATATATATATATACACACTCACCTTTTTAATTTGCCTGCCAGATTCCCTTCTCGTGGGTATTTTAGCATTCTTGGAATCCATAGGTGTATATAATGGATCAAATGCGTTTGCTGTAGGAGTTGTAGTGTCAGCTTTTCTTTTAACTCCCTTTTTGAGTTTGGCAGGTTGTGATGGAGGCATTACAGTCGGTGTTGTAGGGATTTGTGGAGGTGGAGGCACAGCAGAAGCTGTTTGAGGATCCATCGCTGGCTGCGCATGGTAACCCGTGGTTGGAGGGACAACTTGCTGAGGCAACGAATTGTGAGTGGCCATTGGTGTAACACCCATACTTGACGGTGGAGCGATAGTGGTTGTATTCGTGCTTCCTGGTACCGAAGCTGGTGCCTGAGTACCAAGAGGCGGCATGGGTATAACGCCAGTTGTTGCAGCTGATGTAGCTGAGGGTGTTAGACTATTTGGTACGCTGGAAGTGACAGCGGCTGCACCAGAAGCTGGCCGTCCTCTACCTGCTCCGGTACCTCCCGTTACTCCACCTACTCCTGGTCCACCAACTCTTCCAGCTTTTTTGCCTTTGGGTCCTTTCGGAACAGGTGGATCTAATTCCACCTCTTCCTTCGGCATTTGTGCAACCTATGAAATTATTATCTTATATAAAATACTGTTTTATCTAAAATTATGTGTGTGTGTGTGTGTGTGTGTGTGTTCTTTCTTCAATTTTTTAACTAATATGTTCTTATTTAGAGAATATAGAAATGTTATCGTAATAAAAAGAAATATACCTTTGTAAGGAACAATTTTTCGAGAGCCTGTGCCATGACCACAACATCCTCCCCTGGTTTGTTGTAGACATAACAATTGGTAAACATAGTATTGAAGTCCTGAATGCATTCTTTCCCACTCCAGTAGTACGAATTCTCCAACCGCTTTTTGATTGTGCCCAAGTCCATTGGTTTTTTGATGATTTTGTGATAGTCCTGTTAAACAAAAAAAATGTGTTTTGTGCAATTATCTACACAATAACAAAATTATTGTAAAGCATTTTACAAATTTATGTATATTGTACGCATGATAATTCAATATACAATTTTTAATATTCAAAAGATATAATCTAAACATACCGGTAAATTGAGTTTTTTCGCATCGACAGGTTGTTGGAAGGGCCAGGCAAACTGATGCTTCCATACTGGCTTCAAAACACCCTTTTGCAAAAACTGCAATTGATTCGTGATACGTCCTGGACGATTGGGTGGCGGAACAACCGGTGGTTGAACTATGCCATTCACCGGTTCCAGAGGTGGTTCGTCACGCGGAGGCGGTTCCTTTGCAGGACTCGCTGGCGTCGTCGAAGCCTTGCCAGGTGTGCTCGTCTATATTACGCATTATTTTGTTAGTTATACATATAAACAGATAATGTTTCAATTACTTATGCATCTACGTTGTAGTGTTATTACGTGTTAAAGAAGAAATCTATTAAAGCACATCACATTTTTGCTAACTATAGAGTTAACTCTATTGAATACTGACATATTCATATATCATTAATTATATGTCAGATCATGCATTTTAAATTAATTGCAACATATTTATCTGCAGCATTCTCAGATGTATTGTAAGATTGCTATTAGCAGACTTATGCTCAGATGCAACATATTTCATTTGTATCTGTATAAATTTTCAATTATTTTATGTGTAATATATAAGTTATAGCAATCACGAATACAATGTGTGTGTGTGTGTGTGTGTGTGTGTGTGTGTGTGTGTGTGTGTGTGTGTGCGTGTGTGTGTGTGTATATATATATATATATAGAACATATTAAATTTTTCATATACAAAATGTATGTGCGGCAATAAAAGATATAATAAAATAAAATATTTTTAAAATTATTAAAACCAAGTTACACATTGTATTCGTAATGACTCGATCTTAACAAAAGTCTAAAAAAGGCAACACATGTCGTTCAAGATCAGGTATCTATCCCTTCTATCTTTTTTTCCCATTTCTATTGTTACGACCTATAATTCAATCTTCTAAACGAATAAGAGCTACATCACATGGACAAATGCCACCAATAGCAATCAAGATTTTGAAATGGTCACGTGTGTCCATTTCGAAGCTTCGTCGAATTCTTTGGCCACGTTCAGCAGACAGTCCGGATCAGTAAGCGTTCAGTGATTCTTTGTTACGAGTTGTGATTGGTTTATTCACACAGATCCAGCGAATCACTATAAGCGCTCACTGATCTGCTTTGTCTGCTGAACGTGGCCTTTGCTTAGCCCTTAAGGAGCTAAGAAGTCTTCTCCCATCTCGAATACTTGCTACTAAGTCAGGTTAGTTATTTTTTTATTTTTTTTGCACCAAATTTTGATATTTTTACATAAAAATGTATGCAAACTTAAAAGTATACGTTATTCTTAATGGGCCAATTCTAAACAGAATCGTAAGACTCGTAACTTGTTCTCGTAAGACTTATAAGAACGTATAACTGAATGTTTATAACTTTATGTAATATCTTTACCGACAGTTTCTTGTTAGCTATAAGATTTACGAGAAATCGTAGACATTTACAAATAATCATACGTCTTACGATAAGTACAGAATTACAGTCATAAGGATTTTATAAATCCTACGAGAACAAGTGACGAGTGTTAAGATTCTGCTTAGAATTGACCCATCATCATAAACTATAAATTTTGCTAATTAAATAGTACAAATTACTATTTTTTTCTATAAATACATCTGTAATTCACACGATAATATTTTACATGACACGTGGTTTGTTGTAACACACAAACCAAACGCGTCTAGCTTCTTCTTTTAACACTAATTTAGAAGAGCTTCTTGTTCTTTCATCCAGATTCGTTCATTTTATTTGCATTTTACATCTTTAGGTTTGTTTTTTTTTCTAACGAATATATTCTCGTTTATTCTTAAACATTCTCCATTTCAGATACTATAAATTCTACAAGACAAACAAACCTAAAAATATATTTATTGTCATATCAGGAAGAATTTAAATTGAAGAAACAATTTGAGTCCTTTTTGCGTTTGCAATCATACAGGTAAAAAAATGTTTAAATTTCTGTGAATCCTTTATGTATAGATGTAGATATAGATGTAAGTTTAGATTATTTTTTAATATACGTACATTTATTTTAATATACGTATATTTATTTATATATATTACATACAATTTCATATAATTTTTTATAATTATATAAAATAATATATAAAAATGTATTATTAAATTTATTTTTATTATATGTAAAGCATATTGATGTTTAATATTTTGTATTTTAACAAATTTTGAAGAGAAAATTTTTTGGGGAATTTTTAACTTTAATAGCTCGCATGAATGTGTCCCTTAGAAAAAAATTCAATGCTTTGTCTCTAGATAATAACGTTTATGTAGCGCGATAATATTTAGAGATTATAAAAGTTGTAACAATTTAAAATTTAAAGAAAAATAATTTTTTTTTTAATTTTAAATTATTACAACTTCATAAATATCAAGAATGTCATTCAATGAAAATTTCTGATAATTTTGTCATTTTCAATCTCATCATAATTGTTATTATGTTAATTTATTAATTGAAAATATGTATAGATTACCTTTCTTTAGCAAATTCTATATCAAATACACAGTATGCGTACATAATTATTTTTCGACTTTCCGACTTTGTATCGATTTTATGTGAAGAGAGAATTGGCCGAAATATAATAGAAATATTATAGAATTTATAATTGCTAAATTAACGTAAAAACAATTATTATAAGGTAACAAATATGACAAAAATATCAGCTAATATTCGAAATCGATCATAAATTAACCGATTCATCGACGTCAATTCAATTAATCATTTCTGGCAAGGACAATATATATGTACCATTTGTAAAAGTTATTAATAAAATTGCATTTATTTAAATTATTAATAATTGTATAAGTAAAATACAAAAAATAAAAAAAATATAAATTTTGACAAAACTCAAAAGCGCTTCTTAACAATAAAAAAATAAAAAAAAATATAAATTTTAAAACGCATACATCACAGCTTAACACAAATTAATATTTACATACACAAGCAACACGTATAGCAATAAAATTAACTCGTTGCCGTACAATAAATAGTCATACATGAGTAAGATATTGTCCAATATGAATTGCATGGCGTAGATTATATGTGGTTCAGATATAATAAACGCAAATAAATATTTAACTTGCGCAAACGTATTATAATTTAATATATCTTTTATATATTATTTATACATTTTATATATATATATATATATATATATATATATTTATGACAAAAGAAATCATAAAACAAGTCATATAACTAAATAACTAAAAGTTAGGTTTTTACTAATCAAGCATTTTTCAAGCAAGTTAGTAATCGTAAAATTAATGTGTATACTCATACATAAAAGTTTCATCAAACTATAATACTACAATTTTTATTACAATACAATTTATATCCTGTAAAATTTTCTATTTTTTTATTACATTTATCTTTGGTAAAAGTTTTCAACTAGCAATAATCGCGCCTCAATAGAACTTTATTGGTTCACGATGTCACTGTACAAAGTTAATTTTTATTTTAATAAGAGATAAAATAATAGATACATCAAATTTTACATTAAATAAACACTTATAAAAAATGTGTTAGCTTTAAACGAAGAAATTGATAAAGTGACTTAAGATCTGAAATAAAATAAATAAAAATTGCAAATAAAATTTTCATATTTTTTGCAATAGTTATATTATAAAACCACGTGTGTTTCACGAATTAGATTAAAATACTCTGTAATTTTCACAATTTTTAACTATATTGCTGTGAATACAAAAAAATTTATTTCTTTAATTAATAAATTTACATCTAACTTCGACGACTGTTTTATTTTATTATAAAAGTTGTTATAAAATTTGGAGTTTAAAAAAAAAGAAAAAGAAAAAATAAGAAAATAATTTTATTTATTTTTCTTTAATTAATAAAAATTAATAAAATATGCATTACCGTTAATGACAAAATTTCTCTTCCTCCAAGGATCATTTTTTCTTTCTCTTCTTTTTCAAACTCCAAATTTTATAATTATAACAACTTTTATAATATAATAAAATAAAACAGTCGTCGAAGTTAGATGTAACACACTAATCGACGTCGAAATGATCAACTTCAAACTCTAACTTAGACGGTACGAAATAACCAAGGTAGATGAACTGGTAATTCTTAAAATGCATCCACTAGCCAATGGGATTTTGTTTCTCAAGAGTAGGAAAAAAATTAAGTTTCTTATTGGCTATTGTGTGTTTTTAAAGTATACACGTTTCAAAGAGAAATCTTCATGATAATTTCAGCATGATACAAAAAATGGTACCTGGTTAAACATAAAAGTCTGTCCCTTCTAATCCCTTGGAACTACCTGATCTTTAAGCGGAAATGAGTACAAAAAAAACAAAGAGAAAGTGCAAAGAATTTTCCGGACGTCGGAATTTTGAAGATTCCGAAAAGAATGCTTTAATGATCTTCAGACCAACCATATATCAACTTTGACAACAATAATACAAGCTTAAACACTAAAGTCGAAACGTTTTAGGCTGCGTTCCGATATTCACTGCCAGTGCTGAAAATCTATAGTGCACGTAACGTATATTATAGATTTTCAGTACTTGCAGTAAATATCGGAATACAGCCTTAATAGCAGAGCAACGGACCTTCAACTTTAAAATAGATATAAAAAAATAAAAAAGTGCAACGGACAGAGGATTTCTTAGACATCAAAGTTCGAATATTACAAAAAAAAAGTTTTTTCAAAAACCTTTTCACTGACCATTCTGTGCCAAATCCGCTAACAATGATATACGGCTTAAAAGCAAAAATCTGTTTTAACCACATTATTCAGGATTGCCAAAGAAAATTCCTTGACTTGTCCACGTCAGACAATAGTGGAGAAACACGACTTTTCCATGGTCAATATGTAATTTTCGAATATTACCAAAAATATATATATTTTTTTTTCAAAGACCTTTTCATTGACCATACTGTGCCGCATCTGGTAACAATAATACACAGCTTAAAAGAAAAAAATCTGTCCGTTTTAACTACATTACTCAGGGTTGTCAAAGAAAATTCTTTGATTTGTTCAGGTTTTCCAGACAATAGTGAAGAATCTTGTCTTTTTCATGACCAAATATGTAATCTTAAATTTTAACATTCAAAAACAGAGGTTGCAGGAAAAGTAACTTGTAATATATTAGAGGCAACCAAACTTAAAAGTTCAGTAACATAATATTATCCTGAATGAAAATTCAAGCTAATTAACAAAAAATAAATATTTAAAAAACTTTTTCCAATTTTCAAGTCTGTGAAAAATCCTCATTATTGTACCTTAATTTTTGGAGGGAAAACGAGGAGAGAAAACGAATGAATCGGAGGAGTTTAATCGTGTCTGCTAATGCGCGCGTTATTGCGCATGCGTAGAACTTGTCCCTCCATCTGAGAATGCTGCTTGGGTATACTAATATACCGTCTTGTATTTGTGTGGAATATTAATAGCTAAATATATAAAATAATAGAATCTACAATACGAGAAAAAATAAAATTGTATTGGAGAACCTTTCTATATGTATAAGATAACAAATAAATAAACACAAATTCTTGTATAATATATAAAACTTAAACTATTAATGTAATGGAATGCATCATGAGTTAATGACCCCATCCATGCAACGAGCGAATTAGGCTGCTAAATATTTAATTTCCATAACCACAGGCAAGCGATTTGAAATTCTGCACAAGAAAATCGTTACTAGAGATCATAACATTTAAAAGTGAGAATTTATAAATGAAATATAATGGCACCTTCATGTGGCTCATGCAAAATTGTAAGAACAGATCTATCTTTATATCGTTAAATTAAAAATAATTTGTACAATAATTGAAACAACGCGCGGTTTAATACTGCATAAAATGACATATAAACTACAAATATTGAAATGGAAAATACTTATTAATGCTATATGAATGCTAGATAAAGTGAGCAAAGCGAAAAGAATTTTGCCTCCATAATAATATTAATAAATGTAACAATGTTTATTTTAAATAATTTTTGTGTTATCAAATTTATTTGTTCTGTAAAATTAACATTTATTTATAAAATTGTGTCTATATTATTTACTACTAGTAATAGAGAATAAAGCAAAATTATAGAATATTTATAATATATAGCACAAATATTATAAGTTGCCAATTGATATTTCAATAATATATCCTAATCGAAACCATAGTCAACAAGGTTTCTCACCTTCGGTATATTACACAGCCTTTCTCGCTCCTCCACATCTAACTGTAATTCATACATACTATTCAGTCAAACAACGCTCTCTTTTTAGTATGTTAGGCAATTTATAACGAATGTTAGGAATGGAAAATGCAAACAATATTAGGAATTGTATCCAAACACGAAAAATTTGATAAAAATAAATATAAAATATGTTACACAAAAACGAACAGATAGCAGGGTAATTTACAAGATGTTACTTGAAGCAAAATATTAAAGTAATTTATATACATTTTATAACTCTTTCTAATTATTTTAAGTGGAAGCAATCCGTGTTTATATAACTTCACATATGAATATTGATGCTGTGTAATATGTAATGCATTGAAAGTGGAAAATTGGTAAACAGTATGGATATATTACAGGATTTAATGCAGCTTTCAAGTATCGCATAAAGAGTTAATAAGCCAGCTGCATTCTGCACTAATGTAAAATATAAAAAAATTGTAATACTAATGAAGTAATGTACTTCTGATTAGTAGTATACTTACAGAATTGTTCTGCGAAATGGTGTCCACCTGCTGCATCTTGACTTCGTTTCTGCAACAGAAAGAGCGGAGCATGATAAGTTTTATTTATAAAATAAAAAAATATAGTAAAACAAAAACTTGTTACATTAGTTAATTACGCGGTTTAAACTAAAATATTTTGTAAAGTTTTGTAAGAGACAATTTTTTTGTAAGAAAAAGAAGAAGAGTCAATCCTATCTAATAAACTATACTGTTTGACAAAAAGAATATTACTTTTTACTCTATTTAAATTTTTTTATTTGTTTCATTACCGAGTTGGGATTTATCGAATTTTTCTTAAAATTTTTCTTAGAATTTTCCTCGAAATTTTTCGCAACTTTCTCGATTTGTAGTTGACAATCATCTTATAGCATAGGATATATTTGACAGGTAGTTGACTAAACACAAGCAAGTACACGAGTACATTCATTACGTTTTTTTTTTTTCCGAGTAATCGAGTTTATAATATATGGCTCATCCATTTCACGGTAATGAGCTTCACCTACCTTTCCGACTTTCCGATTTTTTATGATACATAAATGCTACGCAGCAGGTAACTGCCTTACGCTGATGCTTGACGCTATGAGGCTTCATCAACAATTGAGATGGCAAGTAAATTTTCTGAATTGAGCATGGTAGCTCATTAATTGCTTGCCAAGACGATTGCGCTGCAACCAGGAGTATTGGTGCCGAGGAGGCATAACACTACGTAAGTCTACCGAGTGGTAGTACTTTGAATGTCAGCCCTGTATACTGGTGTTTGACTCCGTACCTCCAGGCAAGACTCGCGACATTAGCAACATCTGGATAACATAACAATAGGACCCCATATTGTAACAACCCCAAAAATTGTTTCAACGTTGTAGAATGATTTTTTACATTGAGATGAAATCTCAGGGAAAATTTATATATTATTTAACATATCATGCAAAACTGAATCTAGTGGTACATGCTGGAAAAGCAAAATCTATTTCTTACTATATTACTATATATTAATAGGTTATTCAGAGAAATATATGTATGTATAAATTATATTCTTTTTCTTATTATATATTATCTTCTTAAAAAATAGAGTTGATGTTATATATGTAATAATCTAAAATAATCTACATGCTTATATTGATGCAATAAAAAATTTTGAAGTAAAATATTATGTCATTTCAATGAAATAACATGATTTTTTCAGATTATTTGTACAAATTATTAAAAAGAAAGAGAAGAAAATGGCTTTATGTGCAATTTTCTTTTATAATTAATATTTAAAAAATATATCAAATATTTTTAAAGGCAAGATAGCCTTATAAAATTCGATCTTAACAATATATGTACAATATTATTAAAAAAAAGGATATTTCTAGATGTGTATAAACTAGAAGACATTAATCTATACCAATCTAATGCCTAACTTAATTCTATATAAAAGAAATGATTAGCTATATAACGATTAAGAATAAAATTACACAAGAGAAGACTTTCAGCGACACGATTTTTTTGTACAAAGATGCAATTGGGGTTTCACGAGGAAACGTACGATGGAATTATCACACATTCGGACATACTGAGAAATTGTCTATTTTCAAATATGAAAAATTCTCAAGCCCACTCGAATCTGGATCTGAATGAAAGATTCGACATAACCCAGAGTTCCTCGGTGGCCGAAGCAAGCCACAAAATGGAAAGTTTGACTAAAGTAGCACAAATAAGTGTTACACTGGTATAGAAAGCGAGGAGGCTGTTAAAACGCCAAATTGACAGTCCGTAGGGGAAGATCGTACATCGCGTCTACGTTTGACGACCGTTAAATCTTGGCCTTCGGTGGACGAGATTCGTGGATGCGAAATCGAAAAAAGATCCTGCCCGAACGATCATCCACGCCGCGACCATGCCAGATATCGGAGACAGGCAGATAAGAGATCTCGGCGCGCGAACAGGTGCTCGAAAAAGTCATCAGTAGGAGTAGGAGTGGAGAAAGGCGAGATCCACGAGCGAAACGCTCGAAAGAGAAATATAAGCGTGGCGGCGAGGATGATGACTCTGATGACTCTGATGACGATGATAACGACGATAACGACGACGACGATGACGACGACGGCGACGATAACGATGACAGCAGCAACGACAACCTAGAGAGTCCACCAAGTGCAGGACGAACCGGAGAGAAAGGCGAGGGAAAGAATAGCGGATCCGCGCCCAGCCGACGCACAACAAACACGAGCGCGAGCCGCCGCGCGGACGATCCGTCCCGTCCGGCCAGCCATCCAAGCGAACGAGGCGACTGGCGCCACGGAGAGAGAAAGAGAGAGAGAGAGAGATGACGCCGTGAGAATTTCACGACGTACGGACGAGAGCCGGGACGGGGAGAAGACGGCGGCGGCGGCGGCGGCGGTCGCGGCGCGCGCGGTAACCCGGGCAGGTCGCCTTACCGGACACTCGGATTCGGCGTAGGTCTCAACATGGCGGTATGGCCGTTCGGGAAAGAAAGCTCCCAAGGGCCCGCCGCTACGTCGCACCGCGGTGCGGCGCGGCCGCGGCACCGCGCGCCGTGCCGCGCTCACGCACCGCCGCGACCGTAACGCGCCACGCGCGCTTTACACCTATAAACGCGGCGGCGATAACGGGCTCGCCAGGCTCCCGGCGCGTCGCGCGTGCTGATCTCGCTTACCTGATGCAAGACGGAAGTCCGCTTTGCCGCACGGGGAACTCAAATTCACGGGAAAAACACTACCACTACGGGCCCCCGGACAACTCCGAACTACGCTTTCTCCCTCGCTCGCGTTAGTAGTTTGGTTGGCTGGTCGGTGTTATGGCCGCCGCTCGAGTAGTGGCCCCACCGATGTCACCTCACTCACTCTCACTCGTGCGAGCGCGAGCGCTCGGTTCGCGTACACGCAACGGCGAGACGGGACGAGATGGGAACGCGCGAGACGCGGTCCGATACCCACAGGCTTAGTCCCCCAAGACTTACACGCGCGTCCGTCCCTCAGCGCGAAATCGGCAACACTTATCAATGGCCCGCGTCGTGCCCCGTCGACGTAATCCTCGAGCTCCGCGCGGTCGTGTCCCTTTCCGTGCCCATGGCGATCTCGGATCTAGAAACTAACGATCGCAGCACCAACAATGGCTACGCTACGCATTCTTCCGCGACGTACCGAAATGGTTCTGTTCCACCGTTCCGCACGCACGACCCGTCCGCCGACGCGACTAGCGACACTCTGACACACCGAACGCGAGCGCGCCAATTACGAAAAACCTACAGCGACGCCTGACGTCGAATTTCGTTCTCCGTTTCGGCAAAACGAGTCGTCGGACAGCCGATATATCCTATTGGACGTCCTCGACAATAGCGGGGAGGGCGTTGCCACGAGGCGATTTCCCTTTCTGAATCCTGTGAAGCTCGTAACTTGTGAGCCCAAGAAAACGCATGTCTCGAGAAAGCCTTCTATGAGAGACGGGTACATGAAGGGGGATACCTATTTTTACGAATGGGTCCGTCGATTGATGATTGCAGGGTGAAAGGCATTAATCTGAATATTATCCATATTTATTACTTTGGACAGCAGAGATACATATTTGCGCTTATATAAATATTTTATTTGCGTATATATATACACACTTCGGTCAACCGATGCGAAAATTAGTGGTTAATTTCCAGCGTTCCATTTTCACCCGCGATGCACCTTTTTTTCTCGACGTGAAATGGAATCGGTGGCTCACGACAATACTGATATAATAATATATAGTTCGTTATCGTCGGAGAAACTAATCGCGCCGCATCGCGCGGCGGCAAGGCAGATTCGGCAGACGGGGGCGAAACCTAGCGTCGCACGCCGATCACTCCCGCCGTGTCCGAGGGAGACGGTCCGATTCCACGATTCTGCTGTTGCCACGCGACGCATCATGGGAAAGTGCGGAGACGCAAAATCCATAATTACCGACCCGCGGAGGTACCGACCGCGTCCTCCCGACGGCGCCGTCCCCGTAGGCACGTCGCCGGCGGGCGCGTTCGGACACGAGAAAACGCCCGGCGAGCACGTGGCCGAGGATTTTCCGCGCGGTTCTACGCAGCGTACCCGCCGTGTGACGTGTACGTCGTGCACGGCGGCGGTCGTTATCGGATTCCGTTAACGTTCATCCAACATGGCGATACGGGAGCGATCGATCTCCTCCCCCCCCCCCTTCCACGACCGGTCATAGTCGCGGAACGTGCCACGAAACGAGCGCGCGGGGAACGCCGCGAGGCGCGCCGACATCGCGAACAATATCGCGACGCGGCTCGCCGTGACGCTCCGCGGCGCCGTTTTTCGAGGTGTCGCCGGTCGCGTGGCGCGACGTGACGTGCGGCGGGCGGGCGGGCAGGCGGCCTTCGCCAGACGGCGTCGGGCAGAAATGGCAGCAGAATCGTGGACCCGTGTGACACACACGCCACTACGATAGTCAAATCAAGTGTCGGATCGTAGCGGCCGTTCGTTCCCTCGGTAGCATGCTCGCGAAAAATATAATTTTCAGAGAACTAACGTTTGCTCTGTTTTTTCAGTCTGTTTTGTCAGGAGCCTCCTGGTGGACGGCCGAACCGCGTGCGTTCGACGCGACGGCGTCACTCCTCGGCGACGGTAAAATGGCGAATCTCCTCGTGGCTATGTTTGTGTGCGCGTGCATGTACACATGGACGCGCGTACACTCGGAAACCCGTACAACTACCTCGCACGACGAACGAACTCGCACTGCCGTGGTCACACTGCGACGACGAGGAACGCCAACCGTTTCGCTCGCTCAGATTTTGGCGGCTCGCGTCGGAACCGTCCAATATTCTTGGCATTGACAAACGCTTCTTCGTTCCGATGCGACGTAACGAGATACGAAAGCCCGAGCCGGGGAAGAGAAGGAAAAAAAAAGAGGAGATACGTACGTACGACGATAAGTACGCGCGATGGTCCGACTCTGCGCGTTTCCCTCTTTCCGGTCGACATTTATCTCCGCGTTCCGAGCGCCGGTTGGCGCGCGCTTGCGGCGTCTCTCTGACGCGGCCCAATCGTCCGAGGGATACCGATATTGATGAGTCATCGCGTTTGCGATACAGGATGCAACGGCACGCTTCGGTATCTGACCGATGCACAAAAGTAACGGTAAACAGTTTTTTGTTAGCTTACCTGATGATCGGGTCAGAATTTTGGAATTTATTGACAATATTTTTATGACGATATTCAAGAACGTTTCTCGATATAAACACGAATTTCTTATTTATATAAGATACACACGCGTGTCTGTGTACAGTAGAAAATTCTTGAGGAACGATCACTTTGAAGACTGCTCGTAGACCGCCACGTGAAAGTTCCTATCAAGAGACACGTAGCTAAATATATGTAAAATAAACAATCTTGGGGGGGGGGGGGGAGACATCGCAGCGTCCTAAAACAGTTATCGAAAGTAAATCAATCTAATCTCAAACTTGCATCTATCGTTATATACATAAAAACGATTTCCGGGAATGTAGATCTATTGTACTACTCGTATACATATCAGTAAAGATTAGCGTTATCTTCGTCTCCGGTTTTTTTCCCCAATAGATATATACATGGCGCGCGTTTTGTTAACACGAATGTGACAGCTTGATAAATTTTTACAGAATTTACGCGTAATAAATTTAATTATACAATAAATACGTACACATCACATCGACGGAATTGCGTTGAGATGAATAAACATGTGGATTGCACGTGGTGCACATGCAGTCGAACAAATTGGTCGAAATTTGGATTATACATCAATAAAGCGAGGTATGCGATATGAGCGATATCCAGGAATTATATTACGTGAGTATATGGAAGATTTTCTCTCCGTCATTCTCCAAATATTTACGAATTAATTGATATTTACGTTTTTCAAAAAAGACACGTGTTAGTGTCTTTTTTTTTGTTTTTTAAGACAGACGTCGTAATGTCACATACCAAAAATATAAAATGGGACCTTGTGAAAGAACTGCCTCAGGGCACCTTTCATAAGTGATTTTTAATGTTTCAAATTATATATCTCTTGGATACTTTCGAAAATTTAAAATCTATTCCTAAAAGACCTTGAAGATTTAGTCTTACCAATTTTCAATTTAATGAATTCCGGGAGCAAGGACAAGTAATAGCAAATTGTAAATCTTGTCACATTTATTCCTTCGTCAGTTACTATAATTTTTCATAATTAGAAATAACAGAAATATGTTTAACATATAGAAATATTTATTATAGTTTAGATATAGAAATATTTTTTTGTCATGTAACTATATAGAATTAAATTAACTATAAAAATAAATCTTGAGTAAAAACGAATACAAAATTTATATGCATAAATTTGTTTTCGTTTTTATCAATTCAAAATAACTTTTATGATTTTAAGATTTTCAAAAAATCATAAGAATTTGTAAAGAATATTGAAGTAAAATATGGTTTATATTATAACAGATCTATTGTTAAATAATATTATTCCGTTCATGTTCTACAATTTATATAAATTTAAAATTTTTAAATATTTATTTGATTGGTCGCATGTTTGAATTTGCCTGTCAAATTTAGTCATCTTTTATTTTAATTTTATAGGAATTTTATCACATTCATGTATATTAATGAAACATGCATATTAAATATTTGTTCAGAAAAAATATCAAAGAAGAAAATAATGTAGAAATAGACATATAGACAAACTACTTTTTACTGAAATATTGTACATTCACTTCAAAAAATCCTTCAAATTGTGATCCTCAAAATTGCTCTCGCGATTCATATAAATTTGAAATTATATATAATACATTACAGCTTTTTATTAAACAATTCCCCAAACTTCTTCAAATCCTGTACATAATTTACTACATGCGACAGCGCCTGAGAGGGGATAATTACTGATTGAGTAGGTATCTTCTGTGTAATCCGTTTTGACCTAGAAAAATAAACAAGAATAGTATTTGTAATATGACTTTTTAATATATAACAGTAGCATTATTAGTATAATAATAACGTACTTGTCCGTGCGCCATTGCTCCAACTACAATAGCAATAGGATCTTCGGCAGGTACAAGCTCTCGTGAATTTAGTACTTTGCTTGCATTAAACGACATCAATATCTTACGACAACCAACTGGTAAATGATTTGTAATGGGATTCTTAATTACTTTAAGAAGCTTCGTTGATCCATCCGATGCTCTAACACCATATTTATGTAATAGTTGTACTGCAATAAAATATTTAGTACATTAATAATGGATTTATTAAGTGGAAATAGCTAGTAGGATTAGAAAATTAGATTTACACAACTTTACTAAAGTTGTATGATAAATAATATAAGAGAATATAGTATATAAATGTAATATAAGATATTATATATAAAAATTACTTAAAATCTTATAGACTAATGGATCAATTCTAAGAATCATAAGGCTTGTAACTTGTTCTCCTAAGACTTGTAAGAACTTATGACTGGAAATGTAATTCTACGCTTACTGTAAGACGTACGTAGCTCGTGAATATCTAGGATGTCTCCTAAATCTCACAGCTAGCAAAACATCTGTAAAGATGTTATATAAAATTATAAGCATTAAGTCATAAGTTTTTACAAGTCTTACTAGAACAAATTACGAGTGTTTTGATTCTGTTTAAAATTGCCCCAGATAAAGATTCTATAGAATCAAGTCTATGAAAGTTCATTTACTATTATCTTATTTAAAGTCTATTTAGCTATCTATTAAGTAGATATTTACCTATTAATCCAGCAAAGCGTTTGAATGTTCTTGGTATCCTGGTTTGTGGATTAATTTCAATCAGTACATTTTTTTCCGTATGTATGTAGACTTGCAATAATCCGGCTCGATTTAACGGACTGTCCATCAACATTAACAGGCACTGATGAGCGATATCGGGCCTGCATGAGCCCGGATCGCGATTATTTTTTTTCAAAATGTTTGTATGGTCATCGCAATTCAACAGTTCGAAGCAATTTCCAACCTGCAAATTTTCAATTCAACCTGCATAATTCCAGTTATGTAAACTTACGCTTGTAGATACGGAAAATTAAAGTCGTAGAAAGCAGAAAAATAATTGTTAATGACAAAAGTGTTGCTAAAATTGTAACCTAGATAGATATGTAAAAGGGAAACATAACCTTACCTTCACAGATTCCAATTGAGCATTTTCCAGTATAACGACAAGACGCTTCTCTTGATTCTTGATGTGACCTATTTGCAAGTGTCTAGGAGCAGGATCATATTCATTATCGTCATGCTTTTTCCTCTTGATTCCACGTTTTTGCATTTTACACGTCTAAAGTAATCTACACGTAAGAGTAACACGTGCGACTATATCAACGCAACGATGCAGTGATAGACTAACGTGAAGCTGTTCCAAATTATCGTTAGATGGCGAAGTGATGTCGATTGGTATCGATATCTCTCATTCTCTTCAAAAATCTATAATTATAAAAATTATTCTACAAATAAGACGGATTAAGATAATTGCTATATAATCGAGTAATATCACATAATATTGCAGTTTGAATACAAATTTTTGCTCCCCCCCCTCCAATTTCGATAATTATAAATTACCGTTATAAATTCGGGAATGCTTTGCAGTTTTTTTACGAAAAATTAAGTAGGTACATCGATAAAAAAATTGAGTTTTCAAAAATGCATCAAAAAAATTATTTCTAAATTACATATATAAAATTGAAAATTAATATATGGATATGATTAAAAAATTTTCTTTTCTTTTAATTGTTTGAACTGTTTGAAGCGCATAAATCATCGGACGTAAATTAACGAAAAGTATTTTAAAGTTGCTTTCTACATGAGATTTAAAATACTTTTTTTTTTAATGTGTTTGAATTTTAAAAATTAAAGAATTTATAGACAAAAGAAAAAAAAATTTTTTTTGTTATAATGTTCTTGGTTTACATAAATTTTGTAAAAATTATTTTTTATTTAAGTTTTTGTTAGATGATTAAACAATATTATAAATCATAGATTTGTTTTATTTTAGTTGCTATGGTTTTTGCAAACTCAGAATAAAAAAGTAGTAGATATATGTATATTCAGGTATGTGAGGTAAAAGAAAATAATTACGAAAAAAAAATGGAAATGTACTAGGGTCGTTTTAAAAATCTTTTTTATATTATCGTGTTGAGTACGCTCAGAAAATGATTGTTAAAAAAAAAGCTTTCCATTTACTTTAATATATTATAATTTTATTATATATGCCATAGATGAAAGTAATTAAAGCTCAAAGCTTAGTACACAAAGGTCAAATTTTACAATAGCTGGTATGTCCGAACAATTCATCTCCTAAAAGCGAATCCTTTACGACGGCTCTTGGTATCGACGAGCAACTGCGCTTGTCTTTTCAATGCGTTTCGGGACGGAACTTCGTCTTCGTCTTCTGAAACGGGAACGGCCGGAGTCGCACAAGAAGGAAATCTTGGAAACAATGGCCCACCGTTGTTTGCACGCATTGTTCTGCCTTCTATCGAGGTTGTAGCGATCGACAATGTCTCTAACTGAAAGGCGAAGGCGATATTTATGGCCGATCATGACAATTTAAAGATTCTTTGAATTTCCGATTACATTTGTAAATCATAAATAAATCACGCAGGATTTGCAAGTCAGTTTTGAAAAATCGCCCGCAAACATTATAATAAGCAACGGAACATTTATGCATTAAAGAAAGGTCGTAGATAGATCTTTTAGAAAGTTTTCCAAAAATCGCCGATTTAGACAAATTTAATTAATAAACATAATATTTGACAAATTAAGTTAATTTTGTTGTTGTATAGAAATATCTTTTAATGCATCTTATTATTTTTTTACTAAAAAAATTACATAATCGTAAATTTTATTAGCTGCGATTTCTTTCTAAGAAATTTTTTTAGAAATAATTGGCACTAACCTTATCTAACAAGGGTTCGTCCATTGTTTCAAGATATTTGTCCGATGCGCTTAAAACGTCCATTCCATGTTTGACTTTATCGGTTAATAATTCGATAATTACTAAAATATCATCCATTTTAATATCCTCAAGCAGAGGAATATCTGTAACATGCTACAAATGTATGGTTTTGTAAATATTTTGATACATTAAGAGTCTTAAAGCATTAAAAACTTGGACATTATAAAACAATTACAGAAAATTATTAAAACAAAAGAATTTGTTTATTTGCTAAAATTAGAATGCTTTCATTCAGTTTTCTTTCCTAGAAAACAATTCTTTTATCTTTTATACATTTAAAAAAGAAGTGTTTCAACTTTCCTGGTACAAAAAGAATAAGATTTCTAATTTTTTATAATTTATATTCTTGAGAATTACATTCTTTCTACTCCTCAAAACACTTTAAAAATAATAATAAAGAAAATATTGTCCAAGGGTTTCAGTACATGAAAAGAAATTAAATTTTTAGCATACGATATTTTAGGAATAAAAAATTTTTTTAAACTCTTTAATGCAATATGTAACTTTAAATAGCCAATTATTTTCACATAAATTATTCTTAGACGGATCTTAATAATTAGGATTTTAATGAATGAATTATATTCGTTTCTCATATAAATCTGTTTCTGAATACAAAATTTTGTAGAATTTTTACCAAAGATAATCTTAGCAGTTAGCGCGGGCATGTTCAGAAAATTGACCTGACAATTTGTATCAAAAATTAACGGGTGCTAGGTTCCACGTATATTTCCGATAGAATCAATACAGATTTTTTCACGGGATTCGCCTCGTGTTTATTCTCGATCGAATACCAAGGTGTTAATGCGCGGGGCTAGCGATGCTACTCGAGGTGAGAATTACAAAACACGGGTTATTCAGGAAAATCCATCGACAATACGAGATGGGTGACGCTAGGGGTGTTGAAGCTTCCAGGAACAATAAATAGTCGAACATGTACACCGTAGTCAGACATCACTAAAGGCGGTTTTACTAATTCAATTAGGCGTTTACACGGCACTTCCATTTCGACGTTACGCAGCTTTATCCACCGAATATGTTCCCTCATACGTGATAATTCGTAGGGACACGTTTCTTTGCGTGCGCAACACGCAAAGAAAAACGTTAATTAAGATCTCTCCTTACTTTGAGAATTGACCATTTACAGTTAATACTCTTTTCTCATTATTTTTATCAATCTAATCATTGCGTGGATTTTCAATTTTGAAACTCATTTTTGTTTATCTTCATTCTTCTAGAATAGTTTTCAAACTTACAAGATCATGCTAGAATCGCCTAAAAAAACTATGGAGATGTTAATGTAATTGCTAAGAAATATTATTTTTATCGTAGCTAGAAGCTGTCGCGCGCAAAATCATGCGGATCATAAAAGATGAGTCATTATTAAGAAATGCTATCTTAGCATTTGGAGAAATTGTTTGACATTTTTTTTCTGATTTGCAAAACGGCGGCGTAAGAGCCTTTCTAAGCACGGGATCTGTCTTGAGCTGTCAGACTCCGTCTGGACTTTATCGTCCACGGACTTATAATTAATAACTCTCACCTGGAACTTCTCACACAGTTTATACAGTATACCAGTTACGTCGTTTAAGAGCTCGCGGATTCGTTGACTTGCATTCTCGGCTCTCTCCCTGCGAGATCGCTGTTCATCGATTTGCGAGTTAAGTTTTGCCACTACTTCCGCGTTTCTGAAATGTTTAACGATGATGATTCAAATTAATCAGAGCTGCAGCGGATTAAACCTATAATTTAAGAGATCTGTTTTACACTATAACTAACATGTAGAATCAATTTAAAAGTGTATTTTCAAATTATAGGTTTGATTCACACTCAGTTTTAATAATTTTTTTTTTTAATGAAACAAGTTAAGTTTTAAATTAATACATCTAATTAGTAGACATTTTATAAATTTATTAATTTTTGCTCTCGAAAAAGACTAACTGTTCGGCGCTCTTTGTTTCCGAAAATTTCCTCGTCTCTATCTCGGCGTTAAGCTCCTGCCTCTTCTTTTCTAACACCACCTTCTCTTGTTCCGTGGCCGTTCGCATTTTCTGCAGACTCTCTTTGGTCGCCTGCTGACCCAGAAACCGGTTCAGAACTTCCTCGGACCTGGACACTCCGGTGGCGTTCCGCAGCTTGGCGAACGCCTCCTCCAGTCGCGTCAGCTCGTCCTTGATCATGTCCTCTTGTACCTGTACGCGACTTTTCCCACGTGTTTCAAAATCGTCCCGTGTACGGGTCTGGAATATCATACGTTCCAGCCGCTCCAATTCCATCTTTCGTTCCGATACGCGCTGCCTGATTACGCAGAAAGTCAAATGCCAAATTATGTTCGTGATGTGCTAGTCATCAAAAATTTTGTGAGACTGTTATTAATTTTCAAGAGGTCTATCACAAAACTGTGACCACAATATACGATCGCGGTAGCGTCTGTAATAAAAAAAATAATTTCTTTAAAATGTAAAGCTATCGTTCGTAAACCTGTACTCCTTGATGACAGAGTCACGTTTTTTGCTAGAATTTGTCTCCTCGATCTCCTCTTTTACCAGAGTCTCTTGAGTGCTGTCTTTCAATTCTATAGCTTCCTCCTTCACTCCCTGCAATCAACGGTAGATGTTAAGCGAAATGTGTCATCGAAGTTTCTATTAGGTACTCTCTTCGCGTCGTTTAGCTGTTACTCTCCTCGTGAGCCTTGCCTGTAAGCGCTTGATCTCGTTTTCCTGTTGCCTTATGCCATCTTCTAGATCTTGCAAGGAGGAAGCGTAAAAGACCGATTTCTCTTTTAATTCAGAACAAACGGAACGGTACTTCATGCGCGCAATATTTGCCTTAATTTGCATCATTCGGATGTGCTCCAGTTGTACTTCCAATGTCTCGATTTTCTGCGCAGACCGATAATAAGAGCGCGTTAGTAAAGAAATATCAATGCTTACGAACGCATGTCGCGAATGTAGATTAAATTACCTTCTTCATAGGATTTTCCGTCTTCTTCTTGAACACACAATGATTGCGTCTATGCGCCAATACCTTGCTTTCTGTTTGCAAAATATTCAAAGTACGTTCGTGCTAATAAAATTTAGACGTTAATACATTTCTGTCATATCTACAACATTTCTGTCATACCTCGAAATAACATGTAGTTACCTACCTTCTCTTTTTCATATTTAACTAGATCTAGTTTCTTCCTTAGGCGCACATTGTTCCCACTCGCTGTGGTTATAATCTCCTCCAAATTACATTTGTTCACGCAAGCTATGGAATCACGGCTGAGCAGAGCCGCGCGTTCCATCGCTTCTTTATTCTAGAAAACATTTAACATAAATTCATAAAAGCTAATCGGTTATTTACCTTTTTTTTCTTTTTGGCAACCCACACTACATTTTTCGCTCTTGCATATTTCATGTAAAGCTCTTTGACTTTCTTCTTGAGATCACAAATTTTTTGAGCATTTTCACGTTTCTTTGCATCATATTCCTCAAAATTAGCCTTTCTTTGGCCCTCTGAAAAAAAAAATATTATTCCATAGTTTGTCGTATGAAAATATTTCTTGTTTAAAAAGATTGTAAAAACATATGTATTTAACAGCGTTCATTTGTAATAAACGCATTTAATAGAAAATATATCTTTCCCCAATAATTACTGCATCTTTCGTTTCACTCGTTATTAATCATTTTAATAAATAGCTGACAGTACGCGTGAAAGTTGCACTTCTTTTTCTTTACAAACAAATTAACGATAATTAAAGCACGAGAATAGTTGCTGAAAAGTCTCTGTGTAATAACAGCTCAGGAGACTAAGACACGTAAATCGTAATTGGACCAGTGCCAGTGCTTGATCATCAGTCAACCAGTTATTCGAGTGTATACACTCTTTTGGTACGTTCATCCACACGTAGAAACGTACCCTCTCGCAATACGACGAACTCTTAAGTTAACGTCGCAATTTTCTGCAAAAGCGATTACTCGATCGTATAAGGTGGTACGTTAATGATAAGCTGCTATCGTTTTTCTAGGTGACTTTAAGGAAAAAGGAAATGGAAAAGTCAAACCGTGCGCGCCGGTCGCTCGCACGAGCGAACGAGCTCGGGGTGATGCGTTAATTCGATCTCTGTCACGGAAAGTACGAACGTGTCTCGACTTACGAGGAATCGCGAAACTCGACCGTCGGCTATTACCGTCGTAGAACCCTACATGGTGAGCCACGTGCGTAAGTATGGTAGATATAACACGGCGACAGTATATAGCAGCACTCTGAAAAGTGACTGACTGGGCTCAAAGAATCGAGCATACGATGGATAAATCTATTCAGCTGTCTCGATTCCCTGTAATGGCACGAGATCTTTAAAAGCCGATCTATTCAACGCCCGTTACTATCACAGCTGCTTATTATCTGTATCGGGCATCCAACGTCGGTTCATTAATGCTAACGTAAACACGCTGCGAGGAGCTTTCGCAAACAGATTCATTCACGATAGTTTTTTTTAATGAGAAATTCTTTTCATCATTTGAAAGCAGAAATTTTGTTGATTGTCCATACGTCTAGAAAACTGCAAATTAATTGGTTAATTGATTTGCACGAATTATTCCATCAAACTAAGAGATTCTAACAACAGTAATTTCTGTAATCTAATAGTAATGTATATTTCACAATGGATTTGCAATGTTACAATCTTGCGATAAAATATTTTCGCGATGTTCGTTTCTGTGCCGTATGGATATGAGTATCTTGTTGTTAAAATATTGTCCTTCTCTTTTTGCAAGTAATAAACTTTCTACAGTAGATATTCTTCATATTATTTTTATATTATGATTGAATAGTATTGTGATGAAATTGGAACGCGAATGTTAATCACATTTTTTTGCAAATTTCTCCATTGCGTTTAATGGCACGATACTCGATCAATAATTACGCAATGAAAATGCAATCCTTTAACACTTGTTTTATAACGTGCAATCTAATCGATTGTATCTTATCGGATTTTATCCCCCTTTTTCAGTATACTTTTTTGCCATTATTTTTATATACGCGAGATGTGGCTGTGCCATCTCGGATACTGGTTATTCCAGTTCGACTTGTTCATATTTATCTCTGTATAATACGACCATGATACTGAAATGTCAGTGAGCTGTCTCTTTTTGGCACGCCTTGCTGTGTGGTGTAACAAATATCTGAAGATTAAAATACATGGTGTTTCACTTACACTGCGTTACAACTATTTTTGGACCGTCAGTTGTTCCATAAAACTTTTATCACTTTGGAGCCGAGATTTGTATTTATAGTTTTACAAATTTTATTATTTTACTATATTTTTTAGAACATTTAAAAAGATTTTTTTTCTAAAATATTTAAAAGAAGTGTAAAAGAACATTTGAAAACGAGTGTGAAAGGACATTTAAAGAAAACTGTAAAAGAATAAAAAAACATAAAATTTCTATAAGCTGAATTAATTACAGATGCTTTCATCTTTGATTTATTTTTTTTTTTTTAATTTAATTCTATAAAAGCTTATAATATACATTGTTATTTTTAATCTCTAATTACTTGAAAATTTAGGTGCTTGAAAATATTTTAAAAGAATTAAAAAAATAAGATTTTATTTGAAACATTTAACAAAACTTTGGTCATTATGAAGTAAAGCAATAGAATTAGTATTGAGTACACCCTGTATAAGAGTAAGATCTGACTCTGCAACTTTGTCGTAGAGCAGTTTTGCAGCATTGACTCGTGGAGGGTTGTCAGGAACGGTATAAATTAGCGAAGGATGTTTTGTGCGATTTGAGCCGTTACCTGACAACTGGATTTTCTTCTTGATCTCGACGATCTTTTTATTGAGCTCGTTTAGCTTGTTCTCGGCGACGGATGGTGTCAGATGTTCCGACATGTTTTCGCGATTGGGAAAGGGTATCCACGTGTGGAACACCGTATCGACCTAATAATGCCGCTCGTCGTCCGGACGACTCGAATCTGATTCCCCGGTATCGTATGTCGAGAATTGACGTTATGTGAAGCGCATAATTTGAACAGAATAAAAGAAGGGTAAAACTATCAAGGATTAACTTTTGAAACATGAGAACGTTAAACTTGCCATGGAATCAGATTGTCTGCATAACTCTTAACATTAAATAAAAAATTATTATTTTTTCATATATTTATATAGATTATATTCATATGTAATGTTGCATATTATTTACACACATAATTTATTCCAAATTTCTGTACGCAGCTTGCGTTTTTAAATCACTTCTTAAGAGTAAAAGTTTAATATAATGTTAAATAAAAACCAACAAAAGTGATGATGTAGGTCATCTAATATATATTTAAAAAATATAGAAAAATCACATATATCAACTTATATTCAATGTAATCTCCACTTCAATAATTTGTGTCAATGGGTAATCAGTGATTGATTTCTCTACAAAAAAATTCTTTTTGTTGATTGCCACTCATGCATTATATTATGAATGTTTTGGCTGAAATTGGTGGTAAAGAATTTTTAAATGGAGAAAAAAAATGATAATCGCTTGGTGTTAAATCTGACGAGCAAAGTATATGCAGGATTTCAAAATTTATGTGCTGCACTTATTGTTAGTAGCATTTGCAGTGAAGTCTGGCATTGTCTCGCCTGGAAGCAAATATCTTTTACGGCGCTTTCTTCGGATCGCTGGCTTCTGATGGTTTTGTAGGAGGTCACAATAACTTCTGCTGGTCACAATTTAACTCCTGGACCGGAACTACAGTTCATGACACGATACACGAGTGGCATCATAGTCGGTAAAAGGAATTTTTTCTTATGTCATCCAATCACATACACTGATTTCCCGCTCACACTAAATACTCCAAAAAAAAAAAAAAAAAAAACATTGAACGATTGATACATATTTATTTTATTTTCTTTAATATATGGAATGCTTTAGATCACTTTTGCGGTATTCAATTGACTCTATCTTGTAAATACATTAATTCAATCACCGTTTACATCGTTAAAAGGCATTTACGTTTACATGAAACATAAAACGTTAACAACGTTATAAAAATTGATACTACATTATTAAAAATTTATCCACTAAAATTGCATGAAAGAAAAGAAATGTAGGAAGTGACACATTTCTTCATAATTCACATTAATTATTTGAGGAAACATTTACAGAGTTGTGTGTGTGTGTGTGTGGGTGAAATGGCGCGTGTAATTACACAGCTATCTCCGTTTCTCCATCTGCTTTGTTTCCAGTGACGAATCTCATCAATTGGACGCCAACCGTTGCGCTCCATGGGACAATTGTACCGTGGCCGCGCTACGTCGTCGTCGCCGGGCGCAGATGTTTGCAGTTCGATGATAAGGTTAATGGCATCATTAATAAGGCCAATGGGAAGCGCGTGTTTGCAGCTCCGTGCGTGCATCTCGCGTGCTGCGGGTACAAAAGGGTAGAGGAGGATTATTCGTATAGAGGCCCCTTGGCCTGCCTGCTTCTCACCCTTCTCCTCGCTCGGAGTACGGACTTAAGACCGGGTTCACCGAATTATAATTCCGCATTTGTATTCGTTAAGGCGCCCGGCGGTTAAGGCTATAACCGCGATGAATTTCGCGTTACACGCAATCAAGCGCGGCCGAGCGTTAATTAATGATCGGGCGCGCTATATGCTCCTCTCGGTGCCGTCGACCGCGACTCGCTGCATATCGGCGCCCGGGAGCGTCGTAACCGATTGCTCGTTGCAATGCAGTATCCGCTACATAGGAGACAGATATAATGATAATCGACACTAGAAAAATATACGGATAGTCGACATTGATTTTAACTTGATCGTTGCTTAATGTGCTTAATAACTCAACAGGCGCTCGATTGAAAGACTCGAACTATTATCTATGTGTCGCAATTTCATAAGTTACGCTTGTTTTATCACTGAGGTAACAATGCGTGAGAGAAATTCGTTACGTCAATTATTCATACAAATGCAAGTATTTTTAAGAACTTTAATCCTTTGATTGTTTGACAGGATGTCACAAAGTGACTTCAGAGAATAGTTGCGTCATTGTTCATTATTTGTTTATATGTTAATTACGAGTATGTGTAACTACAATAATCTATACTCTTTAAATCTCATAGAGTGGTTTCGCTATTAATTATTAGAGTGATGTAATTCATTCCTATGGATACTGATCTCCGCATTCGAAAAGAATGCACTTAAAAATGAAGTGCGATTTCACATCAATTACAGAGTACAATTTCACTTTTTGTTACATTTGTATTTGGCTCATTTTTCACTCTTTGAGATTATATAGAGTACAATTACAATTTAGAGTGTATATATATTTACAATAGATTACTCGGTTATTAGTATAAGTTTATGAATAAATATTACAGAAAAAAATATAAGAACTTTTATGACTTTTTGTCATTTTTTACATTCCAATTTTTTTTCTAAAAATTCTTGTATATGAGAAACTAATAAATGTCTAATCGTAAAAATTCAACATTTTTTATACCCGCGGTCTAATTAAGGCTGACTATTCGCACGTAATTAAGGTAACGTCATAGAAAAAAGAAATATCAGATGTTAATTAAAGACATCTTTCACATGAGATATAATGAGATCCGTCGTTAAGGATCCGTGAATAAAGCACCACATTAATTATTCCGGCTCAGCGATCAGCCATTTTTCGATGGAGACATACAATATAAATTGCTTACAGTAGTTCAACTCCAATATTTACGTCAACCACTTAATAACTATAAATTAGTTTCAATTTTCTTCAACAATTTTCTTAAATAAATATAATTAATACTTTCTTTTTTTGAAACGTATATATAATGGCACTGAAACATTTACAATATAATAATTATACAATAAAAGGGGGTACATATATATATATATATATATATATATATATGTTGGTATTTAAAATAATATATTAATAATGTAATAGTATAATAATAATAATGTTGTTCTAAGGACAGATAAAAATTTCTAATTACTAATAAAATTTTGAACCTGCATTAATTAACGATAATTATACATCAGTATGATTAATGTAATATTAATTAAAGTAAAATAATGTTAATATTATATAAGTATATATAAATATATGTGCAAGCTTCTTTTCATTTTTTTTTAACTATCTGAATAGAACAAAAATTTTCGCGCGGGCTGTTGGGTGAGTTCGAATCATATCCCATCCCCTAAAAAATTTTCGAACAACTTGACGCCGCGCGAGCAGCGGTGTGTGCCGCGGCCGGCGTGCCGTTGTATCCGCGCGCCGATTGGCCGCCGCGGTCGGCCATCCCGCGTCGGCGCAGCGATACAGCGCGCGGTGGCAGGTGCGCGCGCACCGCGGAACTACTTTCAGCGCGTTAAGCGAACAATAGGGATCCCAGAAGTGTTTCGGACGCGGCCGTGTTCGTTTATGTCGTGCCGTATGCTTTTTTTCCCCGTAACCGCGCGAGCACGCCGTGCACACTGGGACCCGGTTGGTGACGTATCCGCTGGTAACGCGCGTCGCGTACGATGCGCCCGGTCGCGTGACGGCGCCGCGGTGATACACTAATACCGAACAAGTGTGCGTCGCGCCGGTGAGTGTCCGTCCGTCCTTTCGTTCGTTCGCTCGTTCGTCCGTCCGTCCGTTCTTTCGTTCCCCGAGTGTGTGCGCCCGTGCTCCCTTTCCGATGAGTGTGTGTCTACCCGACGTGTGTGGATAACAAAAAAAGATCATAATAATTACGGCACCATGTCGCTGTCACGGCCAAGATTGGATTACGCGCTCGCGGTCGGACCGTTGTTGCTCGCGTTGCTGGCGTTCACCTGCGTGCCCACGGTATTCGGTGAGTACCTACAAAATATATTCTATACGTGCATTCGTGCGCCCCGCGATCGGAGCCGCCGCCACATGTCGCGGAGTCCGCTGCTAGGCAACAGGATCGCGGAGCGACGCCGAGCGCCGGCGCGTTGGACGCGTCGCGTCGTCGCGTTTCTCGGTACGAAACGTCGCGGCTTTTGTTTGTCGGTTCATAACGTGTCTCGGCGCACCGACGTTGTCGATGCGATTCCGTCGTCCTCCTCCTCCGAGGGATCGCCTGCTCAGCCGCTTCGTTTCCCTTGACGTCCGACATTGCCGTGCCTGTCTTAGGTTCGCTTACTATCTGTCTTGAAAATATCGACCACCGTCGCAGCCGATCGCGTGCGATCGGGGGGGCTCAATTTCACGAGCTCCGCGAGTATATTTCACGATTCTCGACGCGAGCGATCCGCCATTCCTCGAGTCCTACCACACCGTGCATTTCGTCGATCGTAATTTTTCTTTCCCTTATTTTTATTTACTCGTCGGATCGAGCGCGCGCGCGCGCGCGTAAGAACACGCCTCGCCGCGGATCTCCTTCTCGCCTTCGTCGGACAGGCCGATAGGTCGACGCTGTCAGGCTGGCTGACAGCGAAGGCGAGCGTGCGGGCCGCTTCAAAGAGACGCGACGCGACGCGTTGCAAACGGACGCACGTGATGGTGTGTTTAACAATGCAGCGGTGCTCATGCGCGCCCCACGGCGTCGAGATACGGGGGTCCGCGCGCCCGCGTCCGCGTCCGAGTTGGCAGTCCCTGAGGGACAGGTGCCCAGCCCCAGCTTTCCAGGAAGCGAGCCATCCCTTCTTCTGTGCGTTAACACGCTCCAACTCGACATTTCGCTGCTCCCTCTTGATATTTTGCGCACGGAACCGGGGCCGCGCGGCTCCCTTCCGCGGGAACCGTATCCTGTTTTGACCCTCTTGCGATTGAAGCGTATTCGATGAGCACGTTTGTGACCTGGGGTTGTCGAAAAATTGTACAAAAGACTCGAGAAAATAATGTTATAATTTAGTCGATTTTTTATTACCAAAGCTTGTTACTCGTCATACGGTAAATTGCACAATAGACGATTACAGGTCGATTAATAGATTGCCGTACGTTAAGAATTAATAGTAAAAGTGGAATTATTTATTAATATTTGTTTGTATTTATTTCTGAATATTTAAAGAAATAGTTACAGTCGCAAAATTATTATTTGTGAATTAGAGATGTTATTAGTATTTTCAATAATCGATTTATCAATTAAAATAGTGATTTAAAATTAAATGTCGTTGTTGACGTTATTGCATTGATATAATATTTGTTACCATTGCTTGCCAGATATTATTTAATTTCTTAAGAAGCCATTAGATAATTTGAAAATACATGTTCATTACAAATTCGGTTAATTACAGGTTGACATATAATTCGTAGGTACTGATAACGGTACAAATGCACTAGTATTATAATTTCCAGGCGCCATAATAACATATCTGCTCTGGAAATAAAATAAACACAACATTGCTTAAGTGCCACTGTGTATATTTCGCAAAAATAGATAACCATTGGATAGATAACGGCTGAAATGGTCAACGCGCTATTAAATGACCGAGATGAGGTCCTCGTGAGAAGTTTCGCGTTTCTTACATCCGAAAAATCAAACGCTGTACCGTGCACAGTAATTCGCAGAATATTACGATGATTTGGCAGAAACGGAAACGACACTTGTGAGAACGTGACCTTTTGTTATCGAAGTAAAGGAACTTAAAACTGTAATAACGTTAAATCAACCAGTTAATCGATGTAAAATATCATATTTTATTAAAAGAATTGTGTATAAAAAGGAAATGTGGAGCAATCATCTTTAAATACTTCACAAATGGATGATTTAACGAGTGTTTACGATTTTTAATTATCTATGACCGCGCGTTTAAAGACAGTAACGTACGATAAATAAATAAATAAATAAAAGAACTTCTCAAGAGTTCAATGAATATATATCTCTAAAAATTGGATAAATAATGTTGGGATGAATGAAATGAATAATTTGGGAATTATAACTCATTCGATAATTTTTTCTCCGCCTGAACGTGTGCAACGAGGATTAACGAAGGATAAATATTTATCTTCGGTAAATTTCTATCTTGACTTTTCGCCAGGACATAAATTAACATGACGTAATCCTTACATCGATACAGTGAGTATTGCCTCGTACATCGTTGTAAAATGGCGAGTAAAGAAAGTCAGTAAAGTCCAACAGGAAAGATAGGAGAGAATAATTAAGATCTTTTGGCGTGTTATTAGTATTCTGTATTGTCTCATAATTAAACTATAATGTGTGTATTTCGAATTTATATTTATCGACATTTATATATTCATCGGTACTTATTGGTAGACGTTTCCATTCCAAAATCATTCGTTTTTATGTTATATATATACCTTTTAATTTTTTTTTCAATTGATTGTACTACGTATTATTTCTATTCCTTAGAAAGTCTCAAAAACAAGTGTAGACCTTGCTTGTAATTTGAAAGCTATACATATACGATTTCGTATTAGATCCCGTTGCATAAAAGATATATGTATATACAATTATAATAATACAAAAAAAAATAATTTAAAGGAAATAGGCTCCTAAGAATAAATTAAACATAATAAAGGAAAAGCTTATGGGATCCAACACGGATATTGGTGTGTAATAATTTTGTGGTTGGATATTGTAAAAATTATTACACACCAATATCCGTGTTGGCTCCCATAGGTCTTTCCTTTAATATATTTGACAAAAAAAAACGAAATATAAAAATTTATATAGTCATTAATATAAGAAATATATTTAAAATCATGTCTACATAAATTCTTCTATTTTTATAATTGTTAAAAGGAATCATAATTTTCAATATTTATAATCTATTGCGATTAAAATTTATAATACTCGGTGAGAGTTAAAATGAAAGTTAAACTTCACTCGTTTTAGTTACGAACGCTTCATTATCGATTTTTTAAAGAACTTGAAATATGAATGGGTAATATGGCATCATTAGTTTCGAAGTGAATAATCCTTTCTCATGTAATGTCATGTTAATTTTCTTAATTTTATAGCATTTAGAACATTGTCTTTGTATAAATTTAAAATCTGTACTTTACTGGCGTAAGAGAGCTCGGCCCTAGGAATTAGGTAACAACGTCTACAGCGGGTACCGCGCGAACGCGAGAGTATTCCGCGATTCGACCGTCTTGATAGTCGTTCCAAGGAATCGGGCGAAGATCTCGTCCCTGCAAGAGGCTCGTTCACTATATATCTCGCGATACTCTGGATGCGGCACGGCGGCGACGGCGGCGGCACTCCAGACGTTCGCCGCTCTTATGTTCTCAGGCTTTCTCTTCTCTCTCTCCTTAGAAACTGATCCGCCCGGGCTTAACGTGCTTTCACACGAGACACGCCGCATTCGCCGCCACGCGAAACAGACGCGGTGCAGGGGTTACATTTCGCGAATATTAAAACACTGTCGTGGCCGCGGAATGCCGCCGACACGGGAAGTGTATGGATTACGCGCGTCGAAGCGCCGGGATATATGGATCGCGTCGCTTGCGAAAGTACGCGGGGATACGACTTTTAAACATTCGATTCCCGGAGTATCGTTTACGTTC